TGTACCGGTCATATTGAAAAATCTTTCAGATTCTAGTTGGTGTTCTACGAGAAATCTTTTAGCATCTTGAAAATATACTAAGTGTTATAATACTAATAGTTAATATTTTTTTTTAAATTTAATAATTGATGTATCACTCATGGTATTTTTTTATTTCTCCTTTTCTATTTATTTTTTGTTAAATAAGAATTTTGTTTATTTATTTTTCGGGTATACTAAAAAAAATGCACAACTCCAAGTATTTTTAATTTTTTTTATTTCTTATTTTTTATTTATTTTTTGTTAAATAGGAATTTTATTTACCAATTTAGCTAAAATGGTCATTGATATTGACATAATTCAATAAAAGTCCCTCAATTTGTCACTATCAATGGTTTTGGACTTTTCGTGAAAAATCTCTGTTAATAAGGATTAAAATGATAAAAATACCCTTAATTTAATAAATAAGGACAAAATGACTTGACAAAACTCGAGAATATTTTTTTATTTGATCCTATTTAACGAAGATTTTTTACAAATTATTTAAAATAATGGTGAAAAAAATCAAAACTAATTATATTGATTTTTAACCTCAAAAAAAAAAAAACAAAATAAAGAGATACTTAAAAATTATTTTGATTAAAAAGTCTATTTTCGTTGAGTGAATAAAATACGAAATTAAGAATTAAAAAAGGGAACTGTTATTAGCACTTTAAGAAGACATTTGTTTGCCCTCATTAAGTGAGATTGGACTAGACTGGATTATGTGTTAGTGTAGTTCATGTTTGTTAGAGGAAGGGAGACATTTTGCGAGGCTTGACATGTTATTGGCATGCCATTTTGCGACGCTTGGCATGTCATTGGCATGCCATGGTCGACATTTTGCGAGGCTTGGCAACGATCAAATACCGTCCTAGTCTCAACCATAAACGATACCGACCAGGGATCGGCATATGTTACTTTTAGGACTCTGCCGGCCAACAACCCACGAAATATGTTCACATGACTTGGGACCCCAATATAAGACGGTCCACTTTTGCCATTCATTAATCGTCCAACAACCACGAACTGTAACTAGCTTCAGTGGGATTAAACTCACTCGACTACGGGGCTCGCTAGATAGTCTTAGCGAGACCCCCAAATACCACTGGATTGCTAAGACCATTCTTTTCTCTCGCGTTGTTCCACTCGACTCCTTGCTCTGCTCGACTCCTCATCTTGCTTGACAACCTTGCTGGACCATCTCAGGACCACCGCCTGTGTCCTCGTAAATCACGGCTTCCTCTGCCACTTTCTCTTCTTAGTTTTCTTCAATTTTGTTTTGAAGATTCGTGAAATTATTACTAGCTTTTGATAGATTTTTGTTTTTGATCGATTTGTGGGTTTGATTGATTTCTCAGATTTGATTGGTTTCTGGGTTTTGATTGCTACCCATTTGTTTTCAATTTATCTGCTATTTTTCCTTTTATGAATTGATTGATAAGTTTTTGTAAGTTGAAGTGATTTTTTTCCTCATTCCTTGCTTTCGTTTTGCTAGAAATTTGATGTTATCATATTTTGGTTTAATCTTTATCCAAAACTTCCCGATTTTCTTACAGTTCCACTACGAGATATTGAGAACTGCAAGAGTTGCAAGAGCCACTAAATCTGCAGGTTTCTCTCAACTGGCAGACAAGGAAACAATACGAGGACCACAAAAAGTCACCATGAGGTATTGGAATCCTTGATTTTCAATTTGTCAATCGGGAAGGCCAAATGGCATTGGCTTTTGCAGTTTATTCTGGCGTATTATCTTGGTGTTATTGTGGTCATTTATGATGTTTTATTGACTGAAATTAATGGATGGGTTAATTGGTATCTTGTGGGATGCATTAGAACTATTTTCAGTTGAAAATTTGTGTATATTTTCAGTTGGGGAAGTTGAACCTAGTACTGCTTTTCTAGTAATTTTTCTCTAATTTTCAGCTTTTGGGTTGTTCTTGGTTGTGTTGTTTGTCAAGTACTGCTTTTCTGGTAATTTTTCTCTAATTTTCAGCTTTTTGGGTTGTTCTTGGTTGTGTTGTTTGTGGTTGATTTGCTTCTGCACTGGCTTTTTTTTTCTTCTGGTTTTCTGCATCTGGGTTCTCTAGCTAGGCATTTTCTTGTGCCTGGTTCGTGCGAAAAATCGAAGCTTGAGCAATTTTATGTAGAACTTTGTTTGCTCAAGCTGGGAGCTTGAGATCACAAGGTTTAGTTCATATTTCGTTTCAAAAATGCTAAGTGGGGTAAGTTAAGAAATTGTTGGAGGAGATGAAGAATTGTTGCTTTTGTTCCCTATTGTCTGTCAGTTGTTGAGAATAAGAGTATATCATGTCTAAATTGGAATGTTTGGTTTTGGTTTGCGGAGTTTGTTTTAGGACTGCGATTTAGCATCTAGCATTTTTGTTCTTGATAATTAGATTCACTTGCGATGAGCCTTGCAAGTTGTGTTTACGTATGCGATCTCTCGTGCTCTTTTTGTTATTCACTTTTTCATCCCCTTTTCATGTTGTATATTATTTGGCAGTGCACATTATATTATGAATGCCATTGATAATACTCAAAGTTGTAGCTGAACTTTGGTTTTTGTTCATCACAATCTCATCACATTTTGTATGGGGTTCATTTCTTTCAGTTTAGGAGTTACGAGCTAATTGCAGGGCATTGGAGGTTGAAGTGTGGTTGGTACAAATGATGAGTGGAAAATGGATTGGAGGCATGATTTTCCTCCTAGTTGGCATGTTCACCAATGTACTCGGTCTAGGTAACATAGCAACCTTGTTTTGTTTTCTGTTGATTCCGATTTTCTATTTTTGACAGTATAACTTCGAGCTCCATTCTGCCTGAAATTCTTGTCGTGAGGTCTTGGTTTTACCGACTTTGTTCAAGGATCTCTGAATTCTGTGTGCAATCGGTATCAACTGCTCATGTGGGCGGTAGTGTATACTGCTGATGAGGATTTGGAGTCCATAACTGACACACAAACTGAATTACAGCTGATGGAGTTCGATGCTCACAATTTTGTCAAATTCAAAGTGCAGAACAGTCACTACCCCAATGGAACATTTCAAAAAGAAAGCAAGTTCTTTTTTTAACCTTGAGGACAAGGTTGTTCTTTAAGGAGGGGAGTAATGATATGATTTGTAATTAGTGATTAGCTTAATCACTATTAAAGGTTTTAATCTTGGGATTATTAGGCTTATTCCTGTTTTAGTGAAGTTTGTTATAATTAGCTAGCTGGCATGATGAGTTGTGACTTGAATAAGAGCACTAGCTCTCACTATTGTAATCAGATCAGAATTTACAAACACAAAAATATATTAGAGCTATGCTCCCTTCTACGTCATCTTCTCCATTTGTCATTTCTATTGCTACTTGTAGGTTGAATAGGGTCCTCAGATTTGTGATCCTATCATCAAGAAGCTTTTGAGCATACAGAAAGCACCCTTTTCTTATCCATAACCCAGATAACCTTTTTTACATCGTACTGGGCTTCCTAATTCAACAAGCTTCTAACTCTTTCTAATTTCTGCTTTGTTTTCTTAAAAGACCATTCAAGAGAAGTCCTTTTTCTACAGTCGCATGATGCTTGGAAACTCTTTTGGCCAAGGCAATTGCAAATGAACGTCAAGCTTAGTTCATCAGTGTCAAAGGTCCTAAACTGCTCACCATGTGGTTTGGTGAGGGTGAAACCAATGTTCAAGAAATCTTATACAAGGCTCGTTCATCTTCTAATTTGCAAAATTGGTTCTATTTGCCTATCAATTTGAGTCGTTGAAAGTTTGATAATTCTCCAAGTTGCAAAGCACCTGCAATTCGTGAAGAATAAGAGGGATATGCCCTTTTATTTTTTCATATATTCATTTTGATATTTTTAATAGAAAATAAATTAAAATATAATAATAATAATAATTTATTGTTAGTCTAGTTTCTTAGTCTAACACTGCACCAAACGCTTCACTAAACTAGTCCAGCTTAATGTAGTTTAAGACAGTCCAACTTAGTCCCTGAAGCTAGTCTAGTCCGAGACAGTTCGGTACAACAAACGCACCCTAAAAATCTCATTATACACTTTCCACAAGTATATTTTCCTATCTATTTATAGAAAATTTAAAATGTCAAATAAAATTTGAGAGCTACTAGACCCATCCCATTGTCTTATTTCTCCACCCACGTTATAATCTCACCCTTCTTAAAAAGTTAAAAAATTAAAATGTTAATTCCCCATCCACTATTATTTTCAAAATAACCTTTAACATATGCATACATATGAACTTATAAAAGAACATATAATTTTCATAATGCATCACAGATGTGGTATTTCAAATGGCTCTCGTGCCAGGGTGCTGCTGATTCATTCCAAGCATTCTAAAATGCACACAACAATGAAACAACAAAAAAAAGGAAAGAATTGTTTGATTTGCTTAAAGATTTTCGTAGGTGAGTTTTGTGTTTCTCAACATACGTTAGCCAAATTCAGATAAGCAATAAAATTAAGGATATGTTGCCCAAATCCTTTTTGCTGATCTTGAAGTCACAAGTATGCAAATTCAATTGGAAAACATAGAGGTATCTAAATTCAAAAGGAAAACTTCGACGGCAAATGCAAAAGACCCCATACAAAATTATTCTTTTATCCCTTCAATAGAAACATAATCTTCTAACTCTTCCATAGAAGCATCATCTTCTAACTCTTCCATAGAAGCATCATATTCTATTTCTTCAACGAAAAAGTCATCTAAATCTTTTTTTTTTTCTTCCTCTAGATGAAAAGAGATGAAAAGATGAGTTAGGGTTTAAGATAAACTGAGCGTGCAACCCAACTTTTTTTTTAACACAAAAGAGGATAATTATGTCCTTATCAGTCATTTTACAACTGAACAAATTTGTAATTAAAATTTTTAATAAAAGATAAATGAAAAGATAAGACAATGGGGTGTGAATAACATCCCTCTAAAATAAATTTTAGGAGTCACGAATCACGATAACAATTTCCTTAAAAAATTGAGACGGTAGGGAGTATATTTTGAGTTGCCCTTGTGTTCAAAATATCCCATCTTATCGCGAACCCAAATCTTCCGCCGTCCGCAACATAGAGAATAGGTACGCTCCTTCCTCCCATCCATCATCGGTCGGATTCTACGTGTTTGGCTGCTGAGAAAGTCCGATTAAACTTTCCCAGAAAATTGATTTGGAAGAAAACAAAAGGCCTCCTTATTTTTATCTAATATCGGTATTGTCATTGCTTTTTCAAGATTTCTTTTTTCTTCACGTCATATTCGTCAATTTCTCGGCATCAATCAGGACATTATAGATATTTGCTTCATCTGTTTTGGTATTTTTGTTTAATTTTAGGGTTTCGAAGAATAGTGCGAATGGAGGTTTTTGCTGATTGATCTTATTAGGGTTTTGAACTTGTTTAATTGAAGGACGGTATTGGCGTTTAGGGTTTCTGTGAGGTTTGGTAATTGGGGGAAGTAGGGCATTGATGGCTGATCGAAATCTTGCACTTGTTAAGCCAGTATGGATGAAGCAAGCCGAAGAGGCGAGGAGCAAGAGCGAGGCTGAGAAAGCCGCAGCGGCAAAAGCTGCTTTTGAAGCCACATTCAAAGATGTGGATAAGAATCGAGAGAAAGAAGTGGTGGCTGGATCAGATAGTGAATCTGAAGAAGCTGAGGACCTGGCGAACAAGCCCATTGGACCGGTGGACCCGGCAAAGTGCACTGCAGCCGGGGCTGGGATCGCGGGTGGTACAGCATGTGCGCCTTCTTCGTTTATGGTAGTGACTAAAGACTCTGATGGAAGGAAGGTTCCAAATGGTGGGGTGCAGATTAAGGTGAAAGTAGTGCCTGGAGTGGGAGTTGGGGGATCAGAGCAAGAAGGGATGGTGAAGGATATGGGTGATGGGACGTACACAGTTACTTATGTGGTGCCAAAACGAGGGAATTATATGGTGAGTGTGGAGTGCAGTGGTAAACCCATCATGGGTAGCCCATTCCCAGTGTTCTTCAGTGCAGGTATTTATAGTTTATCGTGCTTTTATGTGTTGGTGTCAATGCATTTAGTCCAGAGTTCATAAATTTATTGTGGGTTTATTGTTTAGTGAGTGAGTTGTGATCTTAGCCAATATTGTTTCTGTAATGATGTCAATGCTGCAATTAGCTTGTGGTCTATATGAAATCCTTTGCAGCTCTTAAAACTGCTTCTGAGATGCACCGAAGACATAAGAGAAAAACAAAAACATTCTTTCTAGACAAGAAAGTGACTGATAGGGGAGGTTAGGGTTTTTAAGGAAATAGTTTTATCTTACATTCTTTTGCAAGACGCAGTATTAAAGCCTATTCAGTATGCATCTTGGATTATTCACAAGTTACTGGTTATCTCTCAGACACATAATTTTGAGGATTTGCTTTGTTCTCATGCAGGTTCTAGTGCTGGAGGACTGCTGGGATTGGCTCCGCCGTCCACATTTCCTAATCTAGTTAACCAAACCATGCCTAACATGCCAAATTATTCAGCTTCTGTTTCAGGGGCATTCCCTGGACTGTTGGGAATGATTCCAGGCATTGTTCCTGGTGCTTCAGGAGGGGCTATATTGCCAGGAATTGGAGCATCTCTTGGGGAAGTTTGTAGAGACTACCTTAGTGGTAGGTGCGCCAAAATTGATTGTAAGCTGAACCACCCGCCTCACAATCTGCTAATGACTGCGTTAGCTGCAACCACCTCTATGGGAAATGTTAGCCAAGTGCCTATGGCACCTTCTGCAGCTGCAATGGCTGCTGCTCAGGCAATTGTTGCTGCCCAGGCTCTTCAAGCCCATGCTGCTCAGGTGCAAGCACAAGCTCAGTCAAACAAAGACTCTTCTGGTATACCTCTCTGATTTTACGTGGTGATGATTATAATGTGGCTTAGAAGCTGCTAGTTTCTCACATGTATTTTGGCTTTTGGTAGTCTTATTTGAATGTGTTTTCTCATGTTTTTGAGTCGTGTTGTTTTCGTTACAATTGCTACATATATATATATATATATATATAGTTAAATATATATACAAATGTATATGTCTATCTATAACATTTTACTATCTATTAATTAGGTTCACTTGACAAAGCTGGGAAGGCTGATGTGCTGAAGAAGACGGTTCAAGTCAGCAATCTTAGCCCACTTCTCACTGTGGAACAGCTGAAAGAACTTTTTAGCTATTGTGGCACCGTTGTAGAATGTACCATTGCTGACTCAAAGCATTTTGCATATATAGAATACTCAAAACCTGAAGAAGCAACTGCTGCTTTGCAATTGAATAATATGGATGTTGGAGGCCGTCCTATGAATGTTGAGATGGCAAAATCACTTCCTCAGCAACCAGCTGCTATGAATTCCTCAATGGCTTCATCATCTCTTCCTATGGTGATGCAGCAAGCTGTTGCCATGCAACAGATGCAATTCCAGCAGGCTTTGCTTATGCAACAAACTATGACCGCCCAACAGGCAGCCAACCGAGCTGCAACCATGAAGACAGCAACAGAGTTAGCTGCTGCCAGAGCAGCAGAAATAAGTAAGAAATTTAAAGCTGATGGAGTAGAAATTGAAGAGAAGGAAACAAAAGAGAAATCTAGGTATGTTACATTGATTACAAATTGTCATTGTCAACTGCCTTTGGATGTCTTATTCCAAAATGATCAACTTAAACATTGAAAATACTTTGGTATATAGATTATGAAGAATTACGTGATGCTCAAATATTGTTACGCTTATAAATTGTTGAAATCCTGTATTCTGGATATCTGAGGCTTTAGATTTTGTTGTCACAACTTTAGTACAGGAAATAGTGTTCAACCTGTATGATTTTAGGGTTAGGGAATTACCAGTCTTAATAAAAATTCCTATCCAATCCAGTTGAGTCCCAACTTAATGTACAAAATGGGGTCTCGGTTACTGTTGTTAGGTAGGTTAATGCTCAATCATATTGGTGCTACTCCTGAGAATATTCTCCACCTAATATGTTTAGCAATTAGTAACTAATGATGAGTCTGTCGTTAACAGATTATAACATGAAAGCGGTATTCAGAGGTTCAGAGGCATGAGTTTTGGAGTTTATTTTTTAATTTTTTTTAATTTTTTTATCTTGCAATGGTTTCCTGTATTTGTAAAATCTTATTTATTTATTGTATGCAAAAGTTATAACACTGTTGAGAAGTGCACATGTGATTATGAATAATCTCTGTTTGCATAATAGGAAACCATATAATTCTAATTGTTTATTTGAAGCAACGAAGTTTTCTTTATTTGTTAGAAATTGTTTTAATTGAAAACTGTGTTGCCTTGTTTATAATCAAAGTATTTTTCTTTTGCTAATCAATTACTTCTATTACAGGTCTCCATCACCATCTCGTGCAAGGTCAAAATCCAGATCCAGATCACCTATAAATTATCGCCGAAGGCGGAAGTCTCCTTCTTACTCTCCTCCATATCGCTATCCAAGAGATCGTAGATCCAGATCCCCTTTGAGATCACGCCACTATTCAAGCTATGATAATGAACGCAGGCTATATAGAGACATTAGGAATGATGGTGACAGAACTAGAAGGCGGGATTCAGATAGATCACATGATCATCATTTTTCTACGTCACGGAGAAATAGGAGTAGGAGTGTTAGTCCTAGAACAAGAAAAACACGAGTTGATTCGGTGTCACCCAAACATCGACGAGAAAGTTCTCCACGTAGAACTCGAGCTGCGTCTAGATCACCTGGTCATCATACAGGAAGTAAGTCTTCTCCAAGAAAACGCTCAAGGTCAAAGTCTTCAGAAGGAAAACATCACTTAAGTGACAAAAAAGATGACACCCACTATGAAAAAGAAAAACATGGAGAAAGAAGGCGATCAAGGTCAGTGTCTACTGAAGGTAAGGGACATAGAAGACGGTTATCACCAAGAAGTCCGGATGAAAAAAAATCCAGACAGAGAAGGCGGTCTAGGTCAAAATCTTTGGAAGTCAAGTACCGCTCTAATGAGAAATCGGACGAAACAAGAGATGAAAAATTAAAACATCGTAGTAGAAGGCGGTCCAGGTCAAAATCTTTGGAAGATAAGCACCGCTCTGATGAGAAAACAAATGAAATAGATGAAAAATCAAAGTATCGTGATAGAAGACGTTCTAGATCAAAATCTGTGGAAGGGAAGCATCACTTGAAGGAGTTGGGCGAAGGTAGGGATAAAAGATCAAAGCATTGTGATAGAAGGCGATCCCGGTCAGTATCTGTGGAGCCTAAGCACGACAGAAGACGTGGGTCATCCCCAAGAAGCTTGGATGACAATAAAGTGAAGCACAGAAGGCGGTCAAGGTCAAAGTCTGCTGAAGGGAAGCATCGCTCCAATGATAGGGCATATAAAAGTAGAGACGAAAAAGAAAAGAGTCATAGGAGAAGACGGTCCGGGTCTACATCTGTGGAACCTAAGCATCATAGAGGAAGTATGTTATCCCCAAGAAGTACGGATGGAAAGAAATCAAAACACAGAAGAAGGCGCTCTAGGTCAGAATCTTCTGAAGGCAAGCATCCAGCTAGTTGTGGAAGGGATGAGAATGGTGGTGATGGAAAGAAATCAAAACACAGAAGAAGGCGCTCTAGGTCAGAATCTTCTGAAGGCAAGCATCCAGCTAGTTGTGGAAGGGATGAGAATGGTGCTGACAAATCAGAGTATCATGAAGATGGCAATGAGAAACCAAGTTCGGTGGTGAAAGATTCAACAAAGAAAATTGATGATGGGGTGGTTATTTCAGCGGAAGAGGACTTGGACTTGAAGGAATCAATGCGAAATATGAGAACTGAAGATATTCCTCATATGAAAAAACATGGTTTTGTGCAAGATCTTGATAGTGAACGAACTTCTAGAGTCTCGTTAAATGTGGAGGAAAGCAAAGTGGAAGTGTCCATCACTGAGAATCTAGCACTTGGAACATCTGGTAATTAACAAGGTGATAAATACTTATTCTTCAGTGTTGATTACTAGCATAGCTGAATATTCTACTTTTGTGGCCTACAGGACTGGAAAATCAAATTGGTTGTGAAAAGTTAACTGATGCAGATGATGTTTGCAGAACTGACTCCGGAAAGGATTACATCACAGTGAAGGTTCAGAAGAGAAACTCCCTGATACCTGATGCAGATAACGCAGATATGTTTTCTGATGACACCATTGCAGAAGAGAACTTGTGAAAATATGAAACCAGACCCTGGGCTGTTAGGATTCAAGAGTATCTGCCGGGGGAGATGATGCTGACAAGTGCTGCAGTCACTGCACTGATAATAACTTGGTCTAATTTGAGGGACTAACTGAGAAACTTGAAAATTCTGGGGAATGATCTGTTGCTTCTCATTGGAAGGGCGATTTACTTGGAAGCTTGCTTAGCGTTTCTATTGTTGTATGGCTCTTCATAAGTATACTCTTTTTTTTTTTCTTTTAATCTTATTGCAGGTTCTTTGGGTCTCTGAGCTGATCTGGATATGGTTTAAATATTTCAAGGAGTGTTCTGATATCATCCACATCCAACATTCCAGTGTTTGTAGTGAGCTTCTTTTACTGATTGATGTATGTTGGACCATTAACTCTATTATTACATTATGAATTACTTGACTGTTTATCTTTAAGAAATATTGCTACTTTCATGTTGTTTTGCTGTAGTAATTTGGTGCTTAATTGTTTTTTTTTTTTTTTTTGGGATGAAGATACAAATAATTGGTCTGTATAAAAGGCTGAACTATGCTGTAGGTCTGTTAGCAAATCCTTTCCTCAGAGTCGGCTTGTGTCCATAAATGTATCCTGTTGATAGCATTTATGTAAATAACTGAAGTCTTTATCCTTGGCGTTTCTTTGATCTAGTTGGTCACGGGTCCATCTTTTATTTATGTTTGATGGTATGGTGGGCCTGTTATGTCTCAAACACGTGCAGGTTACGGTGATTTTGATTGGAGCTTTCTGAGATTCAGTTTGGCAGGGTTGATTTTCTCTGGATATGAAGGTATGCCGCCATAGACATTGATAGTTTTGCATGGAGAGCTTATGCTGTAAAAGCTTCTGTCCAAGTGTTGAAAGTTTATGGGAGGACCCTAGTAACTTTTGCTAGTGTTATAAATTGGTTCTTACTGTTTCCCCTCCATCTTTCTTTCTTGTGTTTTTTTTTTCCCTTTATTTTTTTTCCTCTTTCCCTAGAAATTGGCTTGGTTAGGTAAAAGCTACTTCTAAGGTCGAGTGAAATCAGATGTTGCTGGGATGAGTTGCACCAAAATTCCACAACAGGTAATGCAGAAACTTTCTAGGTTGAGTTCCATTTCTTGATATGACATCTGGTTATACGCTCAGTTATAGTTGTATCAGTGGTACTGGAATTGTTCCTATGAAAGTAATCATACAAATGCTGGTGTTGTGCCGTTTGTTAGTTGGGTTGACCGGTGGAAGTTTTCTGTTTGATTGATCCTTATCGTTCTTGGTAGTTGCTTAGTTACCGGAGGACTGGCTACCAACTTTTTGTTTGCATACATATTCGCTACATGTAGAAGTGGTATTTGATGTTGTTCAGTGTGATTTCTGAAACCCCATTCCATTTTTTTCGTTGCCCTCATTTTCTCTGGTCTTTTCCCCCAATTTCTTTATTTTATTTAGGGTGAGCTGTGGATGGTTAAGCACTGCTGCCTAGGTCTCAACTTGGGGATCGATTATGCTTGACTACAACTTTGGTATGTAGGATTTGATTGGAATGGACGACGAATTTGAAGGATTGGAATGGACTACCAATTTCTTCTCTCCTCGTACATCTTCCCCTCTCCCTTTCTTTTGCTCTCCACTTTGTTCTCGTTTGTTATGTAGGATTGGATTGGACTGGACGACTAATTTGAAGGCATATTGGAGGTAGAAGCAAGTGATGTTTCATTTGGATGGGATTTGAAGAGGATTATACATCAAGAAAAAATCCTCCCTTCTAGTCCTACCATTTTTGGAGAGCATATTGGAATGGATAAGTTTTCTTCATGAGTAATCCATCGTCTGCCCTCTAGTTGGTTATAATGTTTTCATTTCTCCCTTCAACATACCTTGAAATTAGAGTTATCCATTCCATTCCAATCCAATCCAATCCAATCTTACCAAACGAGGGTTTTTTTTTCTTCGTTTAGATTTGTTTTCAAGAAAATTTGTAGTTAAACCTCCATCACTTAATGCAAGAGAGCCTTTGCCGTAGTGCGGAGAAATTCTGAATTGTGGCTGCCATACGCAGCAGCACACTTCAAGGCTGTAAGGACCCTTGCATGTTTGTTCCCACTCGGCGCCACCTCCTTGTGAGTGTGCTGCCGCGTATCACAGCCTTCAACAAGGAATTAGAGAGTCGAGAGACTGGCAGTGGTCGTGTTGGCGTTGAGCTGGAAATTCATTTTCATACTTGATGCTGATTTCGGCATCTAAATTTCAAATTGAATGTCGTTTGGTCTCTATTTGCAAGACACTGTTGCCATCTAATCGATGACGGATGGTATTAGTTTGAAATTTGACACAATAAGATAACAATAATGGTTATTGTAGAGAAAAACAAATCTATAAGAATATTGGAACACTTCTTCCTCATGGTCAAGGGTTCGGTACTTCGCAAATTACAAATTGACACATATGGGAGTGAAATTTAACATGTGAATAACAAATTGACGTATACATTTCAAAAGGAACTATTATTGACATCAGGAAATTAATTGTGCACTCTTTGTTTTTTTTTTTCTTCTAAATGTAGAAAGTTTGGAGAGCACAATTAGGTTTTGGAGTGCCAATCAAAGTAACAAGAAAAAGATTTTAGAATTAGTTAAAAAAAATTCAGAAATGTTATTTGGAGTCACCTAGAAAATATGAAGTCGGATTCTGTGACATTTCAAGATGGGAGAGATATGAAGAAGGATCAAGAAAAATAGTCCCAAACCAGAAGGTGTTAGCATACTTTAATCGTCATGTTTATGTATAAATTCATATGCATATTCGGTATATGCTTGTGTATAAATTTATTTATTTTGTAGTATATTAGTATGATTATTGTTTTTAATATTGGAGTGTGGTGTATAATTAATATAAAAAAAAATGAACACAATGTATCCAAAATTAGTGATAAAATATAAGTGATTACAAAATACATAATTTTAGTAAATAATTTTAAAACATCTGAATATTTGGTATTTTAATATGGAAATGTTCGTAATACTTTAGAGATTAATTTAGAATTTTTGGAATCTTTAAAGTACATTTTATTTTTTTCATAAATTTTCAGGTTCAGATTTAAAAAATTTAATATCAGAATCAGCTCACCCCTTAGATTGAACATATCAACAAGAAGACCGATTCAAGAAAAAAATAAAGATCAAGGGTATGTTTAGATGAGGATTTCTCAAGTTTCAAACAATTGATGTCAAGTTATGAAAGAATAGACATAATGTTATATAAGATATAGAGGAGATTAGAAGCAATCCACGAACACTACAAAACAATGTGAGAAGGTTTTGTAGATGATACCTCGTAAGTAGGGATTTGTAAAGTCCTCCCACATAATTTTGTACTGCTCATAGAGAAAATGTTTTTAAGGACAATATTTGACTATTCAAAGATGAGTAGGAATTCATACTCAAAATTTTTTAAAATTGTTCGTTATCAATTTATAGAAGTTTGTGTTTATAATCCGAAAAGCTCATATTATAAATCATCATATAAATATCGCATTTGCAAAAAATCAATTAAAACTAAGGTCGTTTAGTCATTAAATTGTTTAAAAATAAATGAATTGTATTAGTAAAAGCATTACGAACGGTTTACGTATTTGCTTTAATAGATTGACTAAACGACCTTAATTTTAATTTATTTTTTTCAGAAATGATCTTTACAGTGTGATTCATAATATGAACGATTATGATCATAATCACAAAACTCTGTAATTAGAACACTAAAAGTTTTAAGTAGTCAAATATTATTCTTTTTCTAATCCCCTCTACAATATGTTTTGGGTTTCATCGTTCATCGTTTGATAACAATTCCTTAGCGGCAAAATAAATAAGTAGGGGTTGTCAGCATAGCTTAGGTATCATGTGTGTAAATGCTGTCGGTGCCAACTGTGCCTGCCAATCTGCGCACCTGGGGTTATCCGTCAGTGACAGAGTTCGGTTTGCAAATCTGTGCGTCTCTTCTTCGGCGACGAAACTGCGGCCTAATAAAAGTAAGCACTGCTGGTGACAGGTGTTATTGCTCGAGTCCTTTTGTGGCAGTGTTCCATCGTCGGCATAACAAATTGTGCGAATGGTGTCACTCGAGTCTAACAAATTGGATACAATCCCCTGTGCTAATGAGTATGCGGGATAAACAACCTCTCTGTTAACAAGTATGACCCCTTATGTTAATGGTGTCACTCGAGTCTTAACAATTTGCCATCGTCGGCATAACAATTTTTCAGGGCATGTTTACTTATATGATATAGGTATGAGAAGAAATGTGTATGGAATTAGCAAGCCCCTATATTAATGTCTTTTTATTCCGATATGTAATACCAACACATGAGACTCACCTACTTTTTCATTCCGTTTACTGTTAATAAACACATGAATAGAAATATTACTCATTTTTTTAGAAATTCTTTCCTCTCAAGTAAATATATCTTAAAAAATAAAACTCAATGCTAAATTTTAAAAATTAATTTTCTAGTTTTATTTAAAAAAAAATAAAAATAATTACTAGACAAGATTTAACGTCACCAATCAATAACTATATCTTAAGTATCTGTTTCACGTTTGTTGTCTTTTATTTTTAGTGTTTTTTTTTCCAATCTTCACATTCCTATAAATTTGTTGACCCAACTTTTATTTTATTTTATTTATATTTAATTTCTTTTACACAAGTAACCCAAAGAAGGAGAGAAAGATTTAATTATGCCAGGAGGATCCTCTCCGAAGAGGATCTGGATCCTCAAATTATGTCTGATCATCGTATATCGTGCAGTTAGTTTTCATTAGATACTATTTATATTTAATTTAAAATAAAAATATTTTAAATTATTTCTGACCGCACGACGTATGATAAACATACATAATTTGAGGATCCTCACAAAGAGGATCCAGAGAGGATGGGTCCTCATTCTTAAGAGCATTTTCGAGAGAAATTTTAAATTTTTGTCAAATTAGCAGTTGAATAGTCTAAAAAAGCTATATTAGCTAAATTGCTGGAGAGAAGGGAAGGATGAGGCTTACTTTCCCAGATGTCCTTAGCCAACCTTAACTTCCTTCTCTTTTAATTATGTTAGTAGAAATAAGTCTTGTACGTAGTTGTGTATTCACTTCGGTTAAAATTATGAAATGTAGGGCTCATATTGTAATTTTGATATAATAGTGAGATTCCATCAGCGTAACTAACCGTTATGCGGTGCATGATTGTGTGTGCTAGTGTGAAAATGAAAGAAAACAATCCTCTGTGATTTTGGAGAAGAATCCATCACTATCTCCATTTCTGTGATTTTTCTTTCTTCCTTCTTCGATTCATACGCTCTCATACCCAAACTTTAACAAATTAATCATCTGAATAAAATATTGGATCAGCAACAGATGACATGTCTTCTGATGTGCTCTTTTCCTCCCCTTTTCTGTGTTTCTTGAATTTAGGGTTTGGTAGTTTCCATGCCCCCCCACACTCACCCCACCACATAAACAGCAAACAGAAAAACTTATAAAACTGATATGGTGCTTGGCCTTTGACAAACTTAAGGGTTAACCCAACTTGTTTAACAAAAATCGTACGAGTCACGCTAAATTATCTTTGGTTTAACAGTTGTACAAGTTTCATAAGTAGTTCATCTACCAGAGCATAGTGCATACAAGTTTAGCAAAAATGAAAAGCCATCATTGTCAAAATTATTAGCCCTGATACGCATGGATGCCAAACAAGATATTTTACTTGTTTTCCCAAAAAAAAAAAAAGAAAAAAAAAGATATTTTACTTTATTTATAGTACTTTTTTATGAAATTTATTTCTGCAGTTGTCTACTACTTGTTATGTGGGCTAAATATATCTATATCGTGGGTGATGTGTGACCTTTTAAAATAGTTGCATTAATCTTTCCGCCCTTCATTAAAAACTACTAAATCAGCTAAATCAGAACTCTAATTTATCTTAATATTCATGCTCGCCCTTTTATTTATGTTGTTTGTATCATACTTAGGGCCTCTATATTTAGATCTCGTATAAATACTCGGAGGACTCAAATGTAATTATGTAATAAATGAAAGGGCAAATATGTAAAAAGGGGAGAACCCTTAGTCTATAAAAGGGCATTCTCACTCTCACAATCCTCAAGCCTTCTCACCATCACAAACAGAGGAGCTCTCATCCTCACAACCAGAAAGCTCTCTCAAACTCTCTATTTCTCTGGGGGGACTCCCCTCACACTTGTAATCCATACATTCATACAGTCAGAGAGAAATACAATCAACATTAGTGTGAACGTAGCCCAAACAATGGGGCAAACCACGATACATTTTGTGTTCTTTACTTTCTTGCAGATTCACGGTCGGATTTACATTGTTCCAAGACCCCTCAGGTTTTGTGCATCAACATTTGGTGTGTCTGTGGGAATCGACACGAAAAACTATGTCGGTTTTCTCTCAATTTTCACCTCCGCCGTGAATCTGCACAAACCCAACAACCCAAAGCTATCCCAGAAAACCCACGAGCCATCTCATCTCTCACTCTCTCTCTCTACTCCCTTAACTATAAACCCACCACATCTCTCACTCCCACTTCAATAATTTCTCTTCAATTTTAAGCAAAACTCATTCAGATTTCAGAAAACCCATTTGACGGTTTAAAACTTTTACTCGAATCCCTTGAAGAATAAGGAAGACAAAAAGAAAGCTTAAGGAAGAAGGGTGTGGACTTTCTGCAAATCCCGTTTGTTAATGGGTTGTCATTCAACTTCTTGAAGAAAAGCGTAGCATTTGCACAAAAAGACTGCAGCCTTTTGCCCACTGACCAGGTGATCAAAAGCGTAGCATTCGCACACAAAAATTATTCGGCAGTCTGCCGCTATCACCACCAACCAGGTGATCAAAAGTACGCCCAGTACTCCAAAATTATTCGGCAGCATGCCACTATTACCACCAACCAGGTGATCAAAAATATGTCCAGTACTCCAAAATTATTCGGCAGTCTGCCGCTGTTATCACCAACCAGGTGATCAAAAGTACGCCCAGTACTCCAAAATTATTCGGCAACCTGCCGCTATTATCACCAACCAGGTGATCAAAAGTACGTCCAGTACTCCAAAATTATACATGAGCATCACTCATGTCAATCATACATAAATATTCATGAACATCACTCATGTCAATTATATATAAACATTCATGAACATCATTCATGTCAACATTCATGAGCATCACTCATGTCAACATTCATGAGCATCATTCATGTCAATCAGCTTTGAAGTTCATGAACATCATTCATGTCAACATTCATGAGCATCACTCATGTCAACATTCATGAGCATCATTCATGTCAATCAGCTTCGAAAGCTTCATTTACAGAGCTCCAGCTTCGAAAGCTTCATTTAC